CCTCCTTAGCCATGAATGCCAACTGGTTGACTTTGGGCCAATCACCAAGAGAGAGTGAGTTCTGGTCCCTCCTTAACTATAAAAGCCAACTGGTTGACTTTGGGCCAATCATTCTCTCTCATCCCAACCATCCCAACCTTGTTTTGGGGAAAAGAGGAAGAGGAAGGTTTGTTGGATAGGTTTGCCAGCTTGAGTTATTTGTAAAATATAATACAGGGAGAATACACATAAAGAAATTAGAGAAGGTCAGATTGATGGAAGCAGTGTTACACCCTTACAATCCTTCCCTCTGTTGTGCATGCATTGTACATCACACAAACGCTCCAAGAGGTGAAGTTTGTGTTTCAGGCTACTGCATTCACCATTTTGACAAGAGGGGGGGGGAACAGTGTCTGCAGCTGCATCACTGGTGTCACCTAGTGCAGTGGTCGCTAACCAGTGGTCCGGGGACCACTGGTGATCCACAGAGAAAATTTTGGTGGTCCGCAGAGAAATGTCACCTCCCAAAGCACCTTCCAAAGCAATTAATCTAGGCTGCGTGGGAAAACAAGGCTGTGCCGCCCACATGGCCTGTAGGAACACAAGGCTTGCATCACTTGCACTGAGAACAACACGAGGTAGTGAGGGGAGAGGGGAAAGGGCGGAGGGGGAGAACTTGCCCCACGTGCCCCATGCACCTTACCTGGCCACCGGGCTGCTTTTTTCTGCTTCTTTCTTCTGCTTTTGGCATGCAAAGAACGCAGCAAAAGTCTCTCTTTCTCTCCTCCAGACTCCGCCATAAATGAGTGTTTGGGACCTTGCAAAGCATCCTGCTCCAAGAGTCTGCGCTGGCACAACAATTCTCACAAAGACTCATTTCTGGCACAAAGACTCATTTTTGGGAGAGAGAAAGACTTCTGCTGCTTCTGCTGCTTTCCTTGCATGAAGCCAAAAGTCTCTCTCTCTCTCTCTCCCCCCTCCCCCCCCCCAAGAACGGAGCTGGAGACGGTATTCTGTGATCCCAAATAAAGAACGATCGATCGGTAGAAAAACAGGGTGGGGAATTTTCCTGCAGACTTTTGGGGGGATTTTCCCAAGGTCTCTGATCCGTGGGATTTAAAATTATGCGTTTGATGGTCCCTGAGGTCCAAGAAGCTGGCAACCCCTGATCTAGCGCATTCCCAATGAATTATAAGGCACACCTTTAATTTTTTAAACGTTCATTATTTGAAGCAAACTACCCTTCTTTTTTGAATAAAGAAGTTTCACATTCTGGGAGGAAGGCGTTAGCAAACAGCTTTCTGTGATTGATGAGAAAACTACAGAGATAGGTCTGTGTAGTCACCAGTCCCTTCAGTTCAACACAAGGAGTCTTTATCATTTTTTTTTTAAAAAATATCAATATTCAGTAGGTTCACGAGAGCATTCAAACCAGCTTTTTATAACCCGTTGCACTCTTGATACGTTGGACTGCAAATCCCAAAGTTCCTAGCAAGAGCGGCCATATGGGCTGTGAATTTTGGAAGTTGAAGTCCCTCAAATTTAGAAGGGTAGCAGATTGTGGAAACTTTGTTGGTCCGTAACTCGTTTAGCTTCTGACACAGATTCTGGTGTATTTGCGGTAGAGTTTCATGCCTCCGTTTGATGGAAAGGTTTTAAACGATGAAAATTTGTTATCGGCTATATTTAAGCTGTGCTAAACATGCTGAAAAGTTTTATTCGATTTGTTTGGGGGAACGGTTTAATCTGAAAACCTCTTACAACAAGAAAAATAAAATTAAAAGAATAAAGCAACACGTTTTATCTTCTTTTTAGCTTGCAGCAGAACTAAATATTTTATGCCATTCAAAATATATGGCGGCTGTGTAGGAAGCTCCTTAACAACCATTAATTTGACATTTATATTTTATGTTAGAAGTATAGCCTGTTGTCCTTTAATACAGTCAGTCCTTGACTTACAATAGTGACTGTTCGAAGTGACAACGGAACTGGAAAAAATGACATCACCATTTTTTCACACTTACAACCCTTGTAGCATCCTCATGGTCACATGATTCGGATGCTTGACCACTGGATCATACTTTTGACGGTGATCCTCTTTTACGACCGCCTGACAAACAAAGCCAATGGGGACTTCACTTATTCACTTAATAACCGTGTTATTAATTTAACAACTACAGCAATTCCCTTAACCGCTGTGGCAAGAAAAGTCGTGAAATGGGGCAAAATTCACTTAAGAAATGTCTCACTTTGCAACGTAAATTCTTTGCTCAATTATGGCCAAAAGGCAAGGACTATCTATGTTTTCCTTGGGTTCTCACTGTTTTGCCTCGCCCCATTGTTAGGAAAACGTTGCCTGTGGGTAAGCTGGTTTTAGATAGTTATGGTAGTTATGATAGTTATGATTAGGGGACTGGAGACTAAAATATGATGAACAGTTGCAGGAGCTGGGCCTGGCTAGTCTAGTGAAGAGAAGGACAAGGGGAGACATGATAGCAGTCTTCCAATATTTGAGGGGTTGCCACAGAGAGGAGGAAGGGGTCAAGCTATTTTCTAAGATACCCGAAGGCCAGACAGGGAATAATAGATGAAAACTGATCCAGGAGAGATTCCACCTGGAAATAAGGATAAATTTTCTGACAGTGAGAACAATCAACCCATGGAACAGAAGTTCCCCTCAGAAGTTGTGGGAGTGCCATCACCTGAGACCTTCAAGAAGAAGAAGAAAACGTTGTTATTATTTTTCAAAAAAAAACCTAAATTAATCCCCATACATACACACACACACACACACACACACACACTCCCTAAAATAAAATGTTTTTCATTTTTCCTCAGGAGGAAGAAGATCCTTTGCCTTCTAAAAAATGGCCAACGGTGGATGCTTCCTACTATGGTGGAAGAGGAGTTGGTGGGATTAAAAGAATGGAGGTCAGTAGCGTGGAATTGAACACTGCGGGCATCTCATATGAGCTGAGGGGAGGGAGACAGCTTCCCATTTCGGAAGGGACATGCTGACAAGCGACCCTGGTGCTGTATTGCCGGATATGAAGCTCAGCCAGAGCCACTGGGCTTCTGATCTGGCGGGGCAGCAGCTGAACCTTCTGAATAGCAAGGTTCGTTTGGTAATGACTGCAAAACATTGTGCGGCTTCCATGGAACCCGATGGCTTTGGAAGGATGTAAAATGTCAAGAGATGGAGCAACCTCTTTGGGGGCTGTTGTATTATTGATTAATGACATTGTTTTATGATTATGAAATCCACAGCCTTGAGGACTTTTGCTAGAAAGCAGCTGTGACTTTGGGTTCTCCTCCAGGAATTGAAGGTGGAGTAGCAATTATAGCACTGCCTGCAAAGCACGATGACCTCATTAGAGCCCCTGGGTGGTCCATTGTTGGTGGGTTTTTTTTCTCACTGATGTGAGAATCGGTCCTTACCTGCTCTCTACAGCAACTCTATGCTCGCTGCGCTCTGATGATTCTAATAGTATGAATAAGTAATGATGGCTAACATTATTTCTATTGTTCGAAGACATGGGTTGGCTCAGGAATTTCTGGGGGCTGAAATCCTATTTCCCCACCTCTGTTCTAAGATGACTTCAGCATTGCTTCTTCTTTTATAAGTTTCATTTCAGAATCGAAAAGTGCCAATTTGAGGGTCAGGAGACATAGTTTGAAAAAAAGTGGATGAAGAGATCAATGCTCTTCTTTTCCATAACTGACTGACCCCTCTTTTATGACCCCATAATCCCTTAATTCAGGGGAGAGTTGAGGGACAGGATGGAGCTTAGCATTTATTGACTGGATGCCTTTCCTAACACCTATGTGGAGTTCACAGCAGATTTTTTTTTCCTAAATGCCCCAGGAGAAAAGCTACTTAGGATTGAACTCTCAACCTTCTGAGTGGCAGGCGAGCATCTTCATCACTAGGCCACCATGCCGCTCCTCCATAATCTAGTACTACTGAATGAGTGTTATTGGTTGATGTACAAAAGAGCACAGAAAAGACTGTGGTTCTCCGTTCAGCCCATTAGCGATATGCAATATGTAAATTTTATCTTTAACTTTAAAAAAGTTAATGGGAGACAGATCAAAGAGAGAACTAAGCTACACAATTGGAATCCCGCCTTTCAAATATGAGTTGCTGTGGATTATCATTGAGTTACTGCTTTCGTGCCTCATTTATAGATCAAAGCTGTTGATGTTATTGATCATTTGTAGAAACTGGATATAGTGACTAGAAGAACTTTTGGTTATTCCAGCTTTTCTCAGCATTAAATAGTATCTATAGAAGATTAGAACTCACTCTTCCTGTGACTCTACTGGAACCAGCTCTTAGCAAGGTATTGAGCAATATCCTGCTAAGCTTTGATATCAGTTTGGCACATTGGTTTTTTTTAAAAATGGGAGTTGAACTATAAGGATGTCCTTGTAGGTCCCCCCCCACCCGCCTGCCAATAGAACAATTTTGTCTATTTTAGGAAGAACCAATTCCATCATTTCATTGGGGCCCTGAATAACAGAGACTTATTTCGAGCTTCGAATTGCAAAGAAACAATAAGGCTTTTCAAATCGATTTTAGTTACTTTTGGAGACAAAATATATATATATAGCACTGTATGAGTATTCTCACTGTGTGCCAGCCAAGTGATTTTATAAGGGTGATATTTGTACTAGAAACACAGCTGGAATAGTTTTGAAATGATTCAGAACGCCTAAGTTCATGTAGCAGGCAGAGATAGGCAAGCCATTATCTCTTAGCTTTGGCTTCAACAATGTAGGATAGTATGATGACAGTCAAATTGGGTTAGGTGAGGATCATGAAAGGATGGTTAAATCCCAAAATAACCCCGGGACCCTCAGAATTTGAAAAGAAAAGAATAGAATTCTTTATTCTTTATTGGCCAAGTGTGATTGGACACATAAGGAATTTGTCTTGGTGCAAATGCTCTCAGTGCACATAAAAGAAAAGATACATTCGTCAAGAGTCAAGAATAATCAGGTACAACACTTAATAATAGTCATAGGGTACAATCAGCAATCAAATCATACTAGGAAACAGTCAATATAAATCGTAAGGATACAAGCAACAATGGATTGTCAGTCATACAGTCACAAGTGGGAGGGGGATGGGCGATATGGAGTGATGAGAAGGTTAATAGTAATAGTAGTGCAGACTTTGTAATAATTGAACAGTGTTGGGGGGATTATTTGTTTAGCAGAGTGATGGCTTTCGGGAAAAAACTGTCTTTGTATCCAGTTGTTCTGGTGTGTAGTGCTCTATAGCATCGTTTTGAGGGTAGGAGTTGAAACAGTTTGTGTCCAGGATGTGAGGGGTCTGTAACATCAGACCAATAGTCAAAAAGTAAACAATATCCCAATCAAGGAACTGTCAAAAAGCTAACAGTAAACAGCCCAGCCAAGAAACCTACAAGGCCACTCCCTCCAACACTGACAGAGCAAGCCAATATAAACTGAGAGCAAACCCTACACCCTACTAGCACTGATGATGTTACCTAGTTTGATAATGAAATGTCTGCAACAAAACCACCAATCTCTGAGAGCACCAAAGACCCCTCCTTTCAACCTTGAATTACAAATGTTCTTTATTGGTATACTGACTCTGAATGACAAGAAGGGGCCACTTTCTTGGGTTCAAGTCCATGGCCAGTCTGATACGGAGATTTGTTTTGTTTAGGTTCGTTGGGGTGACAAAGGGTCAACTGAGGAAGGAGCCCGGCTAGAGAAAGCGAAAAATGCAGTGGTGAAACTCCCCGAGGAAGAAGATGAGCCAGTTCTAAATAGACCACCAAGACCAAAGCCTACCTCGTTGCCCTCCCAGGAAAAATGGTACACACCCATCAAGGTACTTGGCGAAGCCTTTATTATCATTGAATATCAAGTTTGCGTTGTATTTGTTTCATTCATTCATTCATTCATTCATTCATTCATTCATTCATTCATTCATTCATTCATTCTGTGATGACCCGGAGAGTGGCATAAAGGCAACACAGTCAGATAAGCAATAAGAGTCCCTTTATTATCTTCAATTTTGCCTCCAGTGTCCAAATTACCTTCTGGCTGGAGAAAAACCTCTCCCAAGAACAGCCTTTGACTGAAGATAATTAAGTCCAAAACATGAGCAACACAAACTGTAACTTAAAGTCCAAACAAACCAAACTGAAGTAATTAGTTTGGCAGGGCAGAAGCAAGAATTTCAGGCTTGAAGGCATGGCAAAACTCACACAGTTGGGAAGACGCTAGGAACACAGATAAGCCATGACAACACAGGACTTTTGCTCCCAGCAGTCTGCCACAGTCAGTCTGCCTTTCTTATCAACTGTCTTCCCAGCTGAGGCTTACGAAGGAAATCAGGGCCCTTTCCTCCCCCATAAGCCATGCAACTCACGTTGCTCCCTTCTTCGTTCCTCCCTGCATGCCCTAGGATGAAGAGGGAGTGGGCCTGGATCTTCCTCTGAACTCCCTCTCCCTTGTTCTACCTCTTCCCTGCTCTGCCCAGCCAGACTTTGCCCTTCCCCAGCCTCCTCCACAGCCAATGATGCCACACTCCCACTCCCTGTCAGCTGTTCATCTTCCTCCTCGATTTAGACTCCAACAGGGGCATGACACATTCCATGTCTGTGGCTTAGGAAGAGCTTAGTCTGTATGTTTTGTATGCCCAGAATTAGGAATTTCCAACTCATTTAACACACCGTTAGGAAGTACTTACTCATGCATCACTGGCTCAATGTCGTCCTATTAGAGAGGGTTTATACCTAATAGCATCCCATTTAAAGAGCGGATGTTGTCCTGTGGTGTCATTTGGCTGGAGAGGATGCCTGAGACACATTCAGGTAGGGTTAATGGGTTTGGGGAAATGGTTCTCACCTCTGCCAAATCACCACAAGTCTTCCTGGGCTTCTCTTTACAGGGTCGGCTTGATGCCCTTTGGGCATTGCTAAGGCGGCAGTACGACCGAGTGTCTTTGATGCGACCGCAGGAAGGAGATGAGGTTGGTGAAGCTTCCTTTAGCACACTGAAGGATGTGCACGACAGCCTCTTTAGCTTCCTGGGAGCGTTTGAGAGGCTTAGTGCAAGGGAAGAAATTTCTAATGGTATAAGAGTTGTATTTATGTACAGATCTTCTCTCCCATGTAGTATGGCTGTATTATTATTATTATTATCCTTCTCATCTTTTCTACTACCTTCTCCTGTTGGGACCTGTTGATTATATTACCTTGTTGTTTATATGCATACTTGTTTGTATGTGGATGTTGTTTGTATGTTTGTATGTACACTGATTATGTTACCGTGTTGTTTGTATGTATGCTGAGAGCTTATGCACTGGAGACAAACTCCTTGTGAGTCCAATGACACTTGGACAGTAAAGCTGTTCTGTCCTGTCCTGTTCTACCCTACCCTACCCTACCATATCTTACCCTACTCCATTCCATATATTCTATTCTATTCCATTCCATTCCATATATTCTATTCCCTCCCTCCCATCTCATCTCATCCCATCCCATCCCATCCCATTCCATTCCATTCCATTCCATTCCATTCCATTCCATTCCATTCCATTCCATTCCATTCCATTCCATTCCATTCTATTCTATTCTATTCTATTCTATTCTATTCTATTCTATTCTATTCTATTCTCTAGTATTAATATTATACCATGAATATGTTGTATGATGTGAAAACTCTTTTTTTTCGGTGGAACATTCACACGTTTAAGTATCTAACTAGAGCTCCATATTAGATAGGATGGCTTTCCCCTTTTCTGCATAGCACACATTATTCAGTTGAGTACTTCCTGTTGTTTTATTACTTGATTGCTTATCTATTGGCCTTGTCGATCACTGCAATGGCAAATAGCTCTGATCAGGCATGACGAAAATGGCATTAACAGTGTAGTGTGTTTGGAAAGCAAGAGATTGGGAATAGGAAATGTAAGATGCTATCTGGTGAAGAGAAGGAATAGGTATCTATATCTGTGGTGTAAATTATAAACTAGCCTTAGTTTTGTTCCTACAACATCCAATACTATCATTTAAGCTTCCTCTTCTGCCCCATGCTTCAAGCATCAGTGGTAGTTTATTGTATAGTGCAGGGCTTCCAAACTTGACAACTTTAAGACTTGTGCATTTCAACTCCCGGAATTCCTCATGGGTGACTGAGGAATTCTGGGAGTTGAAGTCTGCAAGTCTTAAAGTTGCCATGGTTGGACACCCCTGACCTAGTGCTTTGAAATCTAGGAAGTATCCTCTGGGTTCTAACTTGAGCTACAAATATTCTATTCTAGTGGAACTTTGTATGACAACCTTTTTCAACCTCGTGTCCTTTAGCTACTTTGAGTTTGCAACCTCTAGAGTTTCTGATTAGCAAGAATACCATGAGTTGCCATTCAAACACATCTGAAGGATTGCTTAGTTGTGGGCAAGCTAGTGTAGACTTTAAAATGGAGATTTGTTCTTGGAGTTTTAATTTTGTCTTCTTTGAGGATCGTGAGACAGACTTCCTAGATTGTGTACCATGAGCAGTCAGGGATGAAATTTGTCAATAATGTTGGCATTATTAGGAAAGGATTATCAGCGATTTTAACTTCCTTGCACACAAACTTCCACAAGGCAGGTTAAAAAGCCTGCGATGGTGAATGATAGGCGCCAGAAAGTTAGCCCAGCTTTCAAAAACTCTTTAAGGAAGAATTCATCAAGATTTCAGTGTTCAGTAACACTGCTTTTGAAATTGAACAACTTAAAGGCAAGACTGGGATATCATTCAAATCCTTCGAGCATCTTTCATTCATGCCTTCAGAGACAGGTGGTAGAATTGCATATTAACTGGGCAATTTTCTCAGCAAGAAGCTCTGTAGAAACCCATTACTTTCAAGTAAACCTGCTAAAAATGACTCTGTTAAATAGTTCAGAGATGCCCACTTCTGGGGGAGAAATGTTTTCATCAGTTGATTTCTCCTTAAATAACTGGAGATTATATATCATAACATGCATGATTTTGTAGTTCCTTCCTGTATGTCCTCATCCGTACCGATTAAGAACGACCACTGAACTGTAGGTGAGTTATTACATGTACTTTGACAATTCTGGAGCCCCTAAAAAAAGAAATTGAGAAATAAAAAGAGAAATGCCCCTAATTAAAGAAAACAAACACACAAAAAATAATCACCCTGAGCTTTACTTCATCTGCAGATTAGTAAAAATTTAGAATTGTTTCTAATTCTAATTCAATTTTAAATATTGTCAATTGACCGTCTGTACCTGGATTCCATGTCACAAGAATGGACACATTTTGGGGTATATTCTGCGAAATACTAACATGGTAAGAGGCAGGATAGAAGCCTAACAAACTTAAATAAAATTCATTTCTTAAAACCTTTGTGAGGGGAAAATGAGGGCTTTGGTCAACCTGTAAAATAAAGAACAGCCAATGTTTAATATGGTTAGAAAAATCAAACAATAAATAATGTTTGGAATAATCAAAAAAGAAAAAGTGGGAAGCCGTAGAAATACGTTACCTCAGAGGGCAAAAAAACTCCATCCTTGAGCATAATGCCAGCCAATAACAGAGAATAACAGAGTTAGAAGGGACCTTGAAGGTCTTCTAGACCAACCCTCCGCTAAGGCAGGAAACCCTATACCATTTCAGACAAATGGCTGTCCAATCTCCTCTTAAAAACCTCCAGTGTTGGAGCATTTACAACTTCTGGAGGCAAGTTGTTTTACTGATTAATTGTTCTAACAGTCAGGAAATTTCTCCTTAGTTCTAGGTTGCTTATCTCCTTGATTAGTTTCCACCCATTGCTTCTTGTCTTGCCTTCAGGTGCTTTGGAGAATAGCTTGACTCCCTCTTCTTTGGGGAAGCCCCTGAGATACTGGAACCCCGCTATCCTGTCACCCCTAGTCCTTCTTTTCATCACACTAGACATACCCAGTTCCAGCAACCATTCTTTGTATGTTTTGGCCTCCAGTCTCCTAAGCATCAGCCCTCCCAAACTCCTTCTTCATTTCACTGGTAAACATTTGGTGGAGGGAAAGAGCGGGAAAAAAAAAAACACCTTTTCAGGTAGTTGCAGGAACTTGGCTGCTGACTAGCTAGGAAGTCAAATATTATCATCGAGTGGGGATTTTCAGTGTTGTAAAAACATAGTTCCTGTTTGGGGAAAACCCCTGTTTTATATACCCAAAAGGAAAATTTATTTGTGTATTCATAAGTTCCTCAGTACAGACTCATCTTCAGAGCCTCGTGGGGTTATAAACCAGAGAATGGAGCCTTCTTCCCTTCCCAGTGCAACCAAAATGCGTTCTGCCGTCCATCTTTGCTCTTGTCCCATTAGAATTCCAGATCTCCATTGAAGTTGAAGCATGAAGAATCATCGGAGGAGAAAACTCCTTCTCCCCTCCTCCTTTTTTCCCCCCCTCCCATTCTTTTCTTACAAATGCCAGCTATTAGGGTGGGGGGCAGCTTGATTGGAAAGCTGCCTTCCATTGATCAGAAAAAGCCTTTGAATTGCTGATGGTGACGGAACCCCTCGGAGTCATAAATTTTTCAGCCGGCACTTGGTGAGGTGAGAGCGGCTTGTACAGGTGTGAGTTAGCAGGTTGTCCCCGACATCTGTTCCAGGCAGAGGCTCAGGTCTGCATCCGCCTGCAGGGAGGCCTCTGGGTTGTCAGCAGATGTAGTTAAGGAGGAAGAATGGGGTTGTTTGGTCTCACATTTGCTGCCTGAGGCGGGGCTGAAACACGAAAGGTAGACTGGAGATGGACACAGCTGCGCTCCCAAACTTGCCCGAGGCACAAATAGAACAAACCCTAATGTAGTTTGACTCCGTCATGGCGGGGAGAGAAGCAGAGAAAAGCCACTACAGAGAAATGCGAGGCGGTAACATCTGCCACCAAATTTCCAGGGAGAAATGGAGGATGGAGAGTGGGGACCCAAATCTCCTCCCCTCTTCCTCCTCCTCCTCCTCCTCCTCCTCCTCGAGCTTAGCTCAAATGATTAAGCCACACAGTCTTTTGAAGACCTTCCCTCAAACATCTGGAGGTCATCCACAGAAACTTTTGCCTTTTCACGGCCTGCTTTGTTTGACCTGGGTGTTGATTTGTACAGAGTTAAGTTTGTTTTTGGATTGACCAAGAAGATAATTTATAAGTGAGACTCCACCAGAGAGACCCTGGCTGTTTGTTTGTTTCAAGTCAAGGAGAGAAGAAAGGGTGGGATGCTTTTGAAGTTGGAAAAAATAAAATAAAAATAAAACAGGAGCCAATTCTCTTGGAAAACTCCTTGAATTTAATGGAGGCTTCTGTTCACCTTCCGACTACTGCAGTGGTTTGGGTTTTCCTTTTTTTCTTTTTTAAAGCATTGTTGCAACGACATCTTGTCATGCTGTTCCAAAAGATGGTGTCGGCAGTTCTTTTTTGCCTCTTCCTCAAGTGGGTTGCAGGCAACCGTAGACAGAAACTTGGCATGGAGTTCGGTGTGAGCATGAGGTTTCTTTTGCTGCTAATCTGAGCTGGCTCATGCACGTTGATTTATGAGATCAGGATTGACACACAGACACCTAAATTACCCACTTTTCTTTTTTGGTGGGTGGGTGGGGGTGGGGGGAGGGGAAACAACAATTCTTTTTGTTAGTTCTTCTTTGTGGGATTTGCTGGGGTTGAAAACTTTACTGCCACATTTATCTGTGTATTTGTACACGAGTGCATTCAAGCATGCATTTGGGGAGATTCAACTATGAAAGCTTGGTATCACCTGCCGAAGACGTTTGCTGAGTCCAACAGTGTACGGGGCTGTGCTTGTAAAGCATTGATCCATATTCTACAACCTATTTTCTACCCTACCCTATTTTCCAGCATTTAACAAAAGTCCATCGGTTCTTATTTCAAGGCTGGTACCTCCAGGTTGGTAAAATAAATACCAGGCTCAATCTTACTTTTTTATTTAATGAATTGAACTGCTATGTAGCATCCTTGTAAAATTGAGGGGTTGACA